TGAGAGGAGAAAGGAGGAGAATGGATTGGGCTGTGGCCATCCCCCCAGTGGGTGATTTCTCACTTTCTCTCTCTCTGTCTCTGTCTTCTGGGAAGCACTCGCATCCTATAGCAAAAACCTCTCCAAAAAAAAAAAAATCAACTACAGAAAGAACCATTGAAAATACATAAATATATGGAAACTAAACAACCTACCCTTGAATAAATTCATAACTACTGAATAAATTAAGGCTGATACCAAAGGATTAATTGTAACTAGTCATAATGCCTAATGAGTCTCCATAACCTATGTGACACAGCAAAAATAGTCATAAAAGAGAAGTTCATAGCAACTAGTGCTCACAAGAAAAAGTAGAAAGATGACAAATAAACAACTTAATGGCACATTTCAAGAAGCTTGGAAAACAACAAAGAAATACCAGAAGAAAATAAATAATAAATATTAGACAGAAATGAATTAAATAGAGAATCAATGAACCATACAGAAAATAAATGAAACCAAAAGCTGGTTCTTTTAGAGGATAAACAAAATTGACACACCATTAGCTAGACTAAACAAAAGAACAGAGAAAGGAACCAGATAAAATCAGCAACGAAACAGGCTACATTACAACATTTATAAAAGAAAGACACAAGATCATGAGAAAATACTGGAAGTGACTATATGTCAACAAATGAGAAAACCTAGATGAAATGGACAAATTTCAAAAAACATATAACCAAGAACAAATGGAAAGCCTGAACAGACCTATAGCAAGTGACAAGTTTCAATCAGTAATAGTCTTCCTACTAAGAAATGTCCAACTCCTGATGGCTTTACTTCTAAATTCTACAAAACTTATAAAGAAAAGCTAACCCACATTCACTTCAAAGGAAGGAACTCTCCCAAATGAGTTCTATCAAACCTCCATCACATTGATACCAGAAGCAGACAATGACATAACCAAAAAAGAAAACTACAGACTGATATGACTGATGAGTACAGATATAAAAATCCTCAAAAGATACTAGCAAATTGTATCCAACAACACATTCAAAAGATTATACACTATGAAGATTAGACTTTATCCCAGGCATACAAGATGGCTCTGTATACACAAAATAATAAATGTAATACACCACTTTAACAGAAAGAAAGATTAAAAAAAACAGAAAAAGTATATTATAAAATACATTATCTTTCATGATTAAGACACTTTGAAAAAATTAGTACAGAAGTGACATTTCCCAGTACAATAAAAGCCATATACAACAAACCCATAGCTAACATCATACTGAATGGGAAAATTGGAAAAAGACGAGACGACTGTTTCCACTTCTTTTCAACATATTGCTGGAAGTCCTACCCAATGCAATAGACACAAGGGTGAAATAAAAAACATTTGAATAATAATTAAAATTATTTCTGAGATGACATGATTATTTACCTAGAAAATATAAAGGAATCCACACACACACACACACACAAATCTCCTAGAAATAATGAACAAATTCAGTAAAGCGACAGGATCAAAAATCAACATACAGGGAACCAGCAGTTAGCGTAATGGCTATGTCACTGGACTCCCACGTAGTCGACCGCGGTTCGTGTCCCGGACCTGGTGGCTTAAAACTCACGCCGGGCGCGTGTGCGTGCGTGCCCAAGATCCTGAGAGGAGAATGGAGGAGAAGGGATTGCGGCGTGAC